GAATTCTAGAGAATAAAGGAGTTATTAATGCTTATATTCAAATCAATAAGAATATGCATGCAGGAGCAGTTGCTTGTATTAAAAAATAATATGGTTTGACCAAATATTTTCCTATTTTTGTTTGATTACATTAAGGATCAGCTTTAAACCTATATATATTTTTTGCTTTAAATGTTCTTACTAGACATTTGCAAGCGGTTGTACCCTAGTGTATGCTTTTGACTGATAATATTCTTATTGTTGATAAAACTAGAGAAAGAGTTGAAGGAATACATGAATTATGGAGGTCAACCTTAATGTCTAAAGATTTTTGTTTGAGTAGATCTAAAACCGAATACATGAAGTGTAATTTTAGTAGTAATAGATGTAGTGGGGGATCTGTGACTTTGGGCGATCAAGTCATTAATAAGACTACACATCTTAGATTTCTTGGTCTATTGTTCAAAATGGTGGTGAATTAGATGGGGATATTGTTAGAGGAATTCAAGTTTGGATGATTGAAGTTGAGGAATGCATTGGGTTTCTTGTGTGACATAAAAAGTACCCCTCAAATTGAATGGAAAATCCTATAAGAGGGTGGTGAGACCTACAATGCTTTGTGACAAAAGATAAACATAAAATTAAGTGTTACAAAGTGATGATGTTCAGTTGGATGAGTGATTTCACTCTTAGAGACAAAATGTGAAACGAGTATATATGTGAAAAGGTTAGAGTTGCTCCAGTGGCATATTTTATTAAAGAGAGTTTCCTTAGATGGTTTGGACATAGAAAATGTTGGCCTTTTGATGACTTGGGTAGAAGATTAGATGTATTCGATTTAGCCTATGTTATGGAAGGTAAAGGTAGACTTAAAAAGTCTTGGTTAGAAAATATTAGAAATGATTTTTTTATTAGATTCAAATGAGAATTTGACTCTTAATGGGATACAATGGAGAAAAAGGATCATGTAACTCCACATAGTATGATGAAGGCTTGATGTTATTGTTGTTGTTGTTTGTTGGGTATTGCGTAGAGTTTTATTTTTATATTCTTTAGCATAGGGCCAATCTATTATAATTTGAGCATATGAAATTGATAATTTTTGACCCCATGAGCCAAAGTGTGCTCTAAATTTTGACGTTTGTTAAGAAAGGTAGAGGTAGACCAAAAAAGACTTGGTTAGAAAATATTAGAAATGATTTTTCTTTATTAGATTTAAATGAGAATTTGACTTTTAACCGGACACAATGGCGAAAAAAGATTCATGTAGCCGACCCCACTTAGTGGGACAAAAGCTTGATGTTGTTGTTGTTTCATTTGAGCTTGTGTAAGAAACAGGTATGCTGTTAGGACATCTGAAGCACATGAAGACAAAGTCATTAAACTAAAAAATTTTATTGTGTCTATTATGTGTAAGGTAACACCAAGAGATTGTTGTGGTGCATCTAGCTTTAATTTCTCCCTCAAATGTATGCTGTAGTTTCAAGGTATTTTGGAAGAGAAAAGCACTTGGCTGTTGGTTTTGAAAGTATGGCCCTAGTTCTTCTTATAAAAATTAGTTTAGGTTAAACTAATGCCCATAATATGTTTACCATAGCATTATAATTAAAATTGTGTTGTAGAAATAGTAGGGGCCCATGTACCCATTTTATTTTGCTGGCCAAAACATTTTAAAATACTGATTTTGTCCACTTGATCAGCCTCATAATGGCTAGGTTACATGACAATAATTTGTTTTCAAAAATAGTTTAACGGAGGCCCACTAAGTGGTTTGTGGTGACCTTTAAAGTCTTTGAAGAACCTCACAAACAATTAATCATTTAGGCCATAATCTCTTATCATAATTGAGCGTACGCAACGATTTCTCGCAACCAGTTAATTTTGCAGCGGTCCACAAAGGTTAGAAGGAAAATAAGAAAACAAGTGAGCTAGGCATTCTTTCTAAAAATAGCCAATATTTTATCATATATTTATTTTAATATAATTATTTCTTAAGCTAATTTATTTTCTAAATATTATATTTAATCTTATTATAAATTAACTAAATTGAGTTTTAAAAATTAGGCTTTAGTTATTTGTTTTACTTATTTGTTTGCATTTTGGTTGAATATTTTCTACAGGAGAATACTAGAGGGGGAGCCCTTGCCCAGAATAAGTGTGTGCTTATTGCTTGAATATCTGTCCCTATATCTTTTACTATGTTTATTTGCTCTAAAATTTATAGTTTTAATTGTAATAAGTTTGTGAAAATTTTGTAAAAAGTTTTAATAGCGCAGTTCATCCTTGCCTCTTTGTAAATTAAACTTTTAAAACGTGAGACTTTACCCAATAGCGGTAGTTTCTATTCATAGTCATGTTATTATAAAAGATGCGAAGAAAGTTTGAGTGAAATGGATCAGCACATTGAAGAAAAATATGAAGGCTTGAAAATTCAAACAAGGGAAGAATATTGCAACCTAGATCTATGGTTGGTCAATGTAGCAAGGAACATCTCTATTAATACTAAGTTGTGAAACATTTCCAATTCTACTACCACTAGAAAACTCTCCACGTTGAGGGTAATGAGAACTTTTGGATAGGTCATCTTAGGAGTAGGAATAGAAAGAGGAATACAACGATGCATGATCAGATATAGTTATTAAGGTTAGGACAATGTGCTAGGGTGTGAGTTGTTGTCCTTTCAGCATGATCAATTGTGTTGACATTGAATACATTTGTATTAGGATCATGGGGACATTATAGTAAGTTTGTTCTTGAGAGGGCACTTTGGTGATTTACTGATTTATTATCCTAGGAAGGATATTATAGTTCCCTTATATCACCCAAAAATCTTTTGGAACCCTTGGGTAAGCAAAGATTATTATAAATTCAAGAGTGTATTTGCATATATTTTGATGGTGCAATATGTAATTGATTCATTGATCACTATTGATGCTCAATGGACACTAGATTTGCCCATGATTCATCTTTGCCCATTGAACAATTTTGAATTTTTGGAGTAATAGCATGCTTTATAACGCAAATTAAAGTATTTGGAGTATAATATGAAGTTCATTTTATCATACATTCTTTAGCATACACCAGTTTACTATATTTGGAATATATTGAAGTGATATAACTTTCAAAATTTTATTATTTATTTGACAAGTTATTTTCTATTTAAAAATTGTACCTACATGTTTAGAATTCTTTTTTTAGGCGATGTGATTGTGATTGGTAGGATATGTTTGAATACGGATTTGTGGCATCATATCTCTTGAAAATAAGTGGTAAGGCATAAACAAGTTTTAAAACACTAGTGATGAAATGATGACAAATTTCTTTGCCCTTGGTACCAAGTGGTTTAAACAAGGAAATGTCAATAATGAAAGCACTATCAGGAGAGAGGGCACTAACTAAGAAGGAGAAGCTATGACAGGGCAGAAGGAGAGAGAGGACATCAGGATGAATCTTTTATGATCATTAAAAAGTCGGTTGATGCAATAAAATCCCTAGTTATAAGACAGTGTTATAAAATAACATTAAACTAATTTGAAGCGGAAAATTTTTAAAATAGTTCCCCATCTATTAGTAAGTGACCAATTTAGTTTCATAATTTTGTATTGCTCCAATTTAGTCCTCGATTATTGAAAATTGATCTAATTTGGTCACAGGGCCATAACTAATAGTTAAAGTTAATGTCAAAGTAAAACTTAAAGGCATTTTAGGTAGTCCAAGTGTATGTTAGATTATATTTCTTTTGTTCTCTATTTTGTCATTTAATGAATTATAATAAATAGAAAAACTTGAACAAAAGTTAACCTACTAAATAATAGCGGTGAATAATTAGTAAGAAATGTATGTGATGAATATTAGGCTTTGTAAGTTATTATGACACAAATTATGTTAGTAATTATTATTGATCTCCTGGAAAATTTAACTATCATATAACCCCTTGAAATTTGAAGAAAATAATTAAATATCTGCCTTACATTATATTTTGTATTAATCTTCATTAGTTTACGTAAATTTTGCATTCCAATCATTGACACGAGTTAGTAGTTTTAATAAATGAGTTAAAAATAGAAATTATAAAATTTCACTAAATGCCATCCTTAAATCATGAGGTAGTGGGAGAGCGTTGGCACTTTAGATTGAATAATTTTATTAAAAGACGGACCAAATTGGATCAATTTTCAATAGTCTTTGGACTAAAGTGGGAGTGCGAAACCCTAGGACTAAATTCGGTGCATACTATAGTTGGAAGACTATTTTGTGCTTTTTTCCCTAACTTGAATTTATAGTTATTCCCATTTTAGATAATTCTTAACAACCATTCCATCTAGTTCAAGATAAGATAATACTAGCAATTAAATAAATTTTAAAGTGAAATAATTTTTAAATTAATTCAAGTGTTAGGATATGTTTGAGTGCAAATGTGCGGGCATCAAATCATTTAAACTATTCCTGAAATAATCTAGAGAGATGAGAGAGAGAATGTCAAAGTCTTCCACCTTGACTCCTTGCTAGCAAAGAAGATGCTTCTGGCCGTATTATTTGTCTGAGAATGGCTTTTTATAGTGGCATCTGGCAACTTAATCACATTTCGCATTGCCACTCCAATGGAAGTAGAAAATGCAGGAATGAATCTGTTCTGGCTAAATCCTAAACCCTAAAGTAAAGCCACTTGAAGACAATGTCTTCTTCAGCAAAACGAAGTACTTAAAACTAGCTTCTTGAAATGTTGAAATGGAGAAGGAAATGAATCTTGAAATGCTCGTGAGTACTACAAGTTTTGATAATAATGAGAAAGGTAAATCAATTAGCGCTTACATGTTCTTCTCTGAATGTTTATTCGGATGCAGAATGTGAGTGGCATGTTTGCGCTTACATAGGTTTCTTGGTGTAATAATGCAACCTTTTTCACGTCATTATGTCATTTTTTGCATATTTCTTCTATGCATTTTTTTTTCACAAGTTTCTTTAGTTAAATTTGTCATCTGAAATTATCTTTCTTAAAACATAGATTATTAGCTTAGGGAATGATAATATTGTTCTACATGATCAATAATCCACAGGATATTCATTTAGCAATCAAAGGTCAGTTTGATGCTGTTTTGGATACTATTGGGGGGCCTGAAGCTGAAAGAATAGGTGTCAACCTTTTGAAGAAAGGTGGGCATTATATGACCCTTCAGGTAGCAATTCAGCGAGTTGCTTTCTTTATCTTTCCTGTTTGATTTGCTTGGTTTGAGACAGGCTACTCTTTTTGTTGTGATAGGGCGAAGCAGCATCTTTTGCTGATAGATATGGTTTAGTTATTGGTCTTCCAGCTGCTACAGCTATTTTGCTAAAGAAGAAGCTTCAATACCATTATTCTCATGGAATAGGTAAGACCGGTAGAGGTCATATTGAGAGATCTGGGTCAATTGCAGTTATTTTCTAGTTGTAAAAATTGACAACGAAACTTACATTTTTTTAGTGAAAAATTTAAAAATAAATAATCCAGATAACTTAGTAACTATCTGTCAGATGGGGTTAAGTTTTAACCGTACCTTCCCGTTAAGAGGAATATTTTGATTGGCTTGCATTCCCTGCTAATGTTGTTTTAGGTTCAAGAATTTCTAATTCTTTTTATTTTATCGACAATATATCTGTTTATATAGTCTGCATTATTATGTTCTGTAGACCTTTAGTTCTAAACATTAAGTTCACCAGTTTCATTTTTGGAACATGAAATACTTGATTCCTTTTTTGAGAACGTTTAAGTATACGTCGCTCAGATAACGAACGCTTGCTCTTTGGTTATCTTTTTGCGTATCAAGCATTAGTTTGTAAATTAAGCTCGAGAGATAACTTTTTATCAAAGGACTAATAAGTTCTTTGATAAAGTGTATATGAATATCCCTCCTAGATTTAAGGCCACTCAAGTAAAGTTTGTAAATTTGAGGAATTCTTATATGGCCTAAAGTAATCTCCAAGAGCTTGGCCTAGGAAATCTCTCTCAAAATAAGTACACATTGATGAGCTGCAAAGACAAAATTTGATTGAAAATCTATCTTATCGCTTGGAGGAGTAGAAAATAGGCCGTGTTGCTAAAAGTAGGGGTTGAAGCATAATTTAGGGTCATAGCTCAAAGAATTGGTGAAGAAATGTGACTTTAAAGGTTGTTTGAAGATCTTAGCATTCATATTAAAGAATTAGCAGTTATGAAATGTGATATAACCAAGCTACAATTGACATTTCCAAATATCTTATCCATGATGATAGACCTAAGCATGTAAAAAATGATTCATATTTAATAAAAAATAAATTGATTAAGGTATCATTTAAAGACATTACACTCCAACATTACTTTAAATAGTGGATATTTTGATCAATCACAATTTGATAACCTAACTTCCAAGCTAGGAATGATCAACTTATATTCCTAGCTTGAGAGGAGTATAAAAATTATATAAAAATACTATGGTTGCGCACATTGAATTCTCGTCAAGCAATTCTTGTTCTCTAATTAAATCAACCGCAAGATGATTGCTCTCCTTCTCAGTCAGTATATTCTCATCATTCTTGTCTTTCAATATTTATGTACTATTGTTTTTTTATTTTAGGATTAATAATTAACATTATTTATAAATTATAAATATGCATTTATTATATATTTTGAATTAAGTGAATAAATTCTTATTATATTTTATCTCAAATTCCAACACTCCTCAATTCTAATAAAAACTAATCCAACAGAGATACTGTTGAAATCCAGCCGTTCTCAGTACAAAGGATCCGACGAACACAAAGATCAATCCGTGAGATGCTCTCATGGATCACGCCATAATGAAGGAACGAATTTAGGAAAGATTTTTATGTATTATTTATGTATTAAGTCTGCAATTTATTATTTCCTCATTAGGATATCTTGTATAGATCTATAAATAGGGAAGATTGTAATGAATAATTCAAGCTTTTCCCTCTCAAATTCTCAGCTTTAACATGGTATCAGAGCCAACGGCCTTAATTTCCATCGGAGAACGATCCTAGATCGTCGAAGGAGGAAGAGAAAAAGAAGCTTGGACTTGATCGTGCCGACCCGTGTACGCCGGGACGGACGAGACGAAGTCGAAGCACAATCGGAACTTCCGATCCGAGAGAAAGGCCAAAGTCGTCACTCCCGCTAAGAGCCGAACATCCGAGAGAATCCGGAGGAGCTTCCGAACGCCATCGTTGGTTGTCTTCTCCTGAGCCGATGGATGAAAGAGCGGACTGAGGACGGTAAGCATCCCGATCTGACAAGGAGGGAAGATCATCGAAAGAGCGAAGCACCCTGCTCGATCCTCACTTCCGATCGCACGACCAGTCGAGGCTGATTCTTCCTTCAGCCGCGGCTTTCCTGCTTACGGCAAAAGAGGCGGAATCGTGCAGAAGGACCGCTCGAAGGCTCCTACTTGAGTTCGCATTCTCACGTGCTCGCGTGACTGGGCTCGAGTTACCCTAAGTTACCGATCCAAGCCTACGTACTTGGCTCGGTCGGCTTGTTAAAAATAAAAAAATCGACCTTTATTGTTGAACGAAAAAGAAATTTTTGGAAGCCTTCACTGCTACCCAATGTCTGAAATTAATTCCTGCCAAATCATTGAGCAAAATGAGGAGTCTATGGAGCACCAATGACGAGGTGACCTTCAAAGCATTCAACCTTCCTATCGTCTAAATGGGAAGAACTATCTAAAGTGGTCTCAATTTGTGAGGATCTACTTGAAGGGGAAAGGGAAAGTACATCACCTCCTTGGAGGAGGACTAAAAGAAGGAGATCCTAAATTTGAGGTATGGGATGAAGCAGACTCCATGATTATGTCATGGTTGTGGAACTCAATGACTCCAGAAATTAGTGATACATTTATGTTCCTTTCGACTACAAAGGACATATGAGATGCGGCCAGACAAACCTTCTCTAAAGCTCGTGATGCGGCTCAAATCTTTGAAGTTAAAGTCAAAGTTGGAAGCACGAAGCAGGGGAGTAAGACCATGACGGAGTATGCCACCATTCTACAAAATCTGTGGCAGGAACTTGATCACTATAGGTGCATAGAAACCAGATGTCCGGAAGATGCTGCGATCCTAAAGAACTTTATTGAAAAAGATAGAGTTTATGATTTTCTTGCATGACTAAATGCGAAATTTGACCAAGTTAGGGTTCAAATTCTTTTCAAGGAGGAGACGCCATCACTCAATGAAACCATTTCCCTCATCCGCACAGAAGAAAGCCGACGAGGAGTGATGTTAGAACCGAAGGCAGTTGAAAGCTCAGCAATGGTGATGAACAAAGAATCGTCATGGAAGGAGAAGGGTAAAGATTCTTCAAAGTTCAAAGACAAGGACTCACTTTAGTGCAGCTATTGCAAAAAGTCAAGACACACAAAAGAAACATGCTGGAAGATACATGGAAAACCCCCCAGCAAAGAGTGGAATAAAAAAGGTGAGACAAGGAGCACACCACATGCCAACAACACTACGAGTAAGCTAGAAGCTCAGTCCAGCCTTGGAGAATTCAACAAAGAAGATATTGATAAATTGAAACGACTCCTGGTATCTCTTGAAAAACCAAATGCTTCCTCTTCACTTGCACTCTCAGGTAAGACTTCGATTTCTATCAGTTTAAGTGGCTTCAGAATCATGAAGATTATGGATAATTGATTCATGACGCACAGATCACATGAACCCATCTCACTACCCACTCATAAACTATACTCCTTGCCCAAACAACAAGGAATCCATCACTGCTTGATGGTTTCTCTTACCAGTAGGCTGGCCAAGGAGACATCATATTATCTTCCTAACTCACCCTGAGAAATGTCCTCCACATACCATCAATTATTCACAAAATCTAATATCAATACAGAAACTAACCAATGATTCAGTATTGCAACGCTTATTTTAACCCTACTATCTGCTTATTTAGACCAAAGATCGGGGAAGAAGATTGGACTGCTAAGGAGAAAACGATTTGTACTACCTGGGAACCAAATCAATCTAAAAATAGTTGTCTATGACTTTCCCTAGTCGATAGGGATTCCACTATTTGGCTTCATCATTATAGAACTAGGACATCATTCTTTGATGGTTAAGACATATGTATCCACAATTTTCAGAAAATAGAAAATAAAATGTTTCATTGAGAACCTGTCGATTGGCGCAAGCCATATATAGACCCTCATCCCAAACAAAAGTGAGAATGTGACACACTTACTTTCACTTATCATAGTAGATTTGGACCTAAAAATTCCAATACTCTTGGGGCACGCTGGTTTGTGTCTTTTATTTGATGATGCACTAGAGTCTCTTGGATCTATATCCTTAAAAGATAAATCCGATGCTTCAGTATCCAATTCTTCAATCTTCATTCCAATATCCAAATCAATTCGGGGTAAAATACGAAGATTCCGATCCTCAATGCAAGATTTATTTAACACTAAACCCTTCTCCTGCCTATTCCAGAGTGAGGGATTATCCATGTAGTCCTATATGTGTTCACACCCCAACAACCAATATTTGGGTTTGCACGAGCAAGGAAAAATGCCATCTTCTCTAGCCACCACCCGAGCTTTCTTATTTGCACTACAATAAGACACCACTCAATTTCCTATTGGATGTAAGCTCTTTTTAACTGCAGCTATCTCATAAACCGATTCTTCACAGACTTAGAGCCAAAAATCCAATGAAGCCTTGTCCTCTTTTTTACCAGGCAGTTTTAACCCTCATAAATCTTGCTCCAAAATCTTAGGGATCACGTGCCTCTTATGTTCATTATCACAGCGCAGAGCCGAGCGTAAAATTAGATCCGAAGAACACTTAAATGCATCTCTTGTTTGATATTCAGCTATCCAAAAGGTTATAAGTGTGTATCATCAACCTACACAGAACGCTTTTACTCTAATTGTGATGTTACTTATGAATGAGCAAAATTCCCTATTTTTCAAAACTCATCTTCATGGAGATAAACTTGTAGGACGATGAGGAAATGAACTAAAACCTCTTGACCTCTCCTCCACACCTCAAAACATCCACTGAAACCAAGATAGGGAAACATAACAAACTATCATCTAGATTGAGAAAAAGTTTACCCTAGCGTACAAGCTCAAGCGAGTGCCCAAGCAGATCCGAGAAATGCTGCACACTTCTCCTGAATACAGGTAAGCATCACCACCTTAACCCTAATAACACAACTCTATCTTTATACTTCTCATGCAAACAAAATTTTCTTGCTACAATTACGATATCCATTCCTAAGAGTTTTCTGAGGCCTTTGAGAATAATTTGGGAACATGCATGAAGGGATGAAATGCAAGGCTCTGGAGAAGAACAATAAACATGGAAGATCGTCAATTTACCAATAGGAAAAATCGATGGCTGCAAATCGGTGTTCTCAATAAAGACAAAGCTGATGCACACTAGGAAGATATAAGCAGACCTGGTGCAAAGGTTCACTAACCATATGCGATTGACTATCATGAAACGTTTGGCCTGTAGACGAAAATGAATACTGTCCGAATACTACTTCTTCACTACAGCCAGTACAAACTGCATTTGGACCAATTGATGTGAAAATGCATTCTGCGGGGATTTAGTAGAAGAGATATTTTGAAAATCACAGTTAAAGAAAAATCGAGGTAAAAGTGTGCAAATAAAAAAGACTATATTAGGGCTCAAACAATCACCAAGGCGCTGGTCGAAGGTTCTCTAAATTCATGCTCTGATATGCAGATCAACAGAGCAAGGGATATTCATTACTCTTCAACACTAGATCGGGGAAGTCACATATTATTAGTGATGTTGCATATATACTTTAACTGAGATAATGTAGAGAGAAAGTCGTTTAAGGAAAGTCTTGACTAAGATTTTAACATCAAAGAACTGTAGAGAAAATACTTCATCGGAATTGCAAGTAGCTCACTCCAGCACAGAAGAATCTTCATTATCACAACAGAAATTATCAGATCTTCTAAAAGAAACAGGTAAACTTGCTTGTAAACCAGCACCGACACCAGTAGAACCTAATCTTAAACTGGGGGAAGCTAAAGAAGATCCAGATGTAGATAAAGGGACCTACCAGAGACTTGTAGGGAAATTGATCTACCTCTCCCACACTAGATCAGACATAGCATTTGCTGTAAGCATGGTCAGTCAGTTTATGCAGAATCCAAAGCAGATTCACGTGCTAGCGGTAGACAGGATATTACACTACCTTAAAGGGAGACCAGGAAAAAGAATTCTCTTTAAGAGAGATCGAGGAATAACCTTAGAAGTAACACGGATGCTGACTACGCAGGTCACCGTTGATAGATAGATCTACCTCTGGGTATTGCACATTTCCTTGGAGGTAACTTAGCAACATAGAGAATCAAGAAACAGAATGTAGTGGCAAGATCTAGTGCAGAAGCAGAATACCGAGCTATGGCCTTGGGAATATGTGAGCTACTATGGATTAAATATCCTAGAAGACTTAAAGGTTAAGTGGGATGAGCCCATGAAGCTATATTATGACAACAAATCAGCAATCAGCATAGCCCACAATCCAGTCCAGCATGATAGGACCAAGCACATAGAAGTGGACAAACATTTTATTAAAGAAAAACTAGACAGTGGTCTAGTAAGTGTTGACCATGTATCATCAAAGGATCAACTTACAGATATCCTTACTAAAGGATTGGACATTTCTGCCTTTCTCAGAATGATTGACAAGCTGGGGATGACAGATCCATATATCCCAGCTTGAGGGGGAGTGTTGAAATCCAGTCGTTCTCAATACAAAGGATCCGACGGACACAAAGATCAATCCGTGGGATACTCTCCTGGATCACGCCATAATGAAGGAACGAATTTAGGAAAGATTTTTATGTATTATTTATGTAATAAATCTGCAATTTATTATTTCCTCATTAGGATAGCTTGTATAGATCTATAAATAGGGAAGATTGTAATGAATAATTTCAAGCTTTTCCCTCTCAAATTCTCAGCTTTAACAGATACCATTTGGATCATATTTGAATTGTCATGGATAAAATTGAACACTTTAGATAGCTGGGATTAAAATGGCTATTCACAAATAATCTATGGATCATTTTGACTTTTTCTTTATTCCTTCTCACAGAAAAATGCAATAGTTTTCCAGTTCCATGGGGTGTTAAGGTTTTCTACATGCGTGCTGCTTTTGCCACATAGTAATATAATTGATTATTTTTCTTCAAAAAATTTGTCAGAGTATGGTTGGACATACATGAGAGCTGATGCTGAAGGGTTGGATGAAGTTCGCAGACTCCTTGAAGCTGGAAAGATGAAGATACCTGTGGAGAAGACATTCTCTATTGCAGAGGTAAGACAGGCTCATGAAGCAAAAGAAAAAAGACTTGTACATGGTAAGGTTGTTCTGGAGCTCGACTGATCTAACTTTCCCTATTTCGAATTAAGATGCAATCGAAAATCTTCGAAATATATCTGTATATCATAATAGATGGCGCATTGCTTCTGTCTCTCTTCCATCTTCCTGCCCTTTTTATTTCTCTTTTTTTTTTTTAAATTATATTAATTGTAATCTCTCTTCATCCTGGTAGAAGCATAAGCCCCTCCTTTTGAGGATGAATCAATTAGTTTCAAAAACTTCTCTCACAATCTGATCTAAGGATTTAGGTTTCGTTTGGGACTGTTTTTTTATTGCTTCTTAAAACGTTTTTTTAGTACAAAAATTGCAACTTTTATATTTAAAAGTTGCTTTAAGAAGCAATAATAAAATTGTCTCAAACGAAGCCTTATTCTATTCTAACATTTGTGTAATAAGTCCTCCAGGATTTTTTTTTTGAGGGTTATAAATTTGTAGTTGTTAAATTGAATACAATGCTTTTTATTGTTCCAAATGCTCTCTGCTTTGTACAAATAAAATGTACAATTTTGGGAGACATGAGGTAGCTGTGACTGGATTGTTTGTGTGTACTGCTGCAAGGTCAAAATTATTTCATCTGTAAGTGAATACAGGTTTTGATGTAAATTATTCAATTTATATCTTGTAGCCTGTTGAATCTTATCTAAATTTTAGTTTAAAAATATGCTTATTTAATAATTTATCATACTTTGTGGAGTGCGTATTTGCCTTATGATGAATTTTTTATCTATCCGCAACTAAAATAAGCCATAAAAAGGACATGCAATTGGGTGAGCTAGAAAGCAAGTACATTCATTTTTTCAATTTTAGATTTAAAATTTTTGTTCATGCAATTGGGTGAGCTAGAAAGCAAGTACATTCATTTTAAAATTTAAGTAGAATAGTCAACTTTCGGTTCCAATAACTTTCTTTTACAGAGCATCTATCAAAACCGAAAATAAGTCGCTAACAACAAGCTACTAACCTCAAAAATGTTCTTACATAGACAAAAAGATATAAACAAAATACAAACAAAACTTGATTCTGTTGTGGTTCAATCTTCTTATTCCCTTGTCCTGCAATAGTCAAAATAATCATCTGGTGAGCAACATTGTCAAGAAAGATATACATCTCTAATACAATGATCATGTATAGAAAAAGGGGCTTTCATATGCATCAATTAGTGAATGTAAGAATATAGCTAATTATCATTACAGAGGAATTATGCAGAATAGTTTACAACATAACATGTGAAAATATTGCTATACATTCACTTTTATACAGAGTTTTATATAAATTTCATGACATCACGTGAGCTGTATAAAAGAAAATGATATATTGTATGTATAGGTTAACATGTTGGTTGCTTTCAACCTTAGAAGATGTCATATCAAGACATTTAGGTCTACACCTCCCTCCTATAGTTTCTTGAGATTGCAACACTTCTTGATGATCTCTCTGCCTCTATTGCTTGCAGGCTTGCTAATCAAGATCGCACTACCCATTAAGGTCGCATTGCCCTATCCACTTAACATCGGACACGATAATCTCCAAAACTTATACATGTTTGAGTTATGTGACATAATACAGGCAGTCATGCATAAAGTTAAATGTTGCCTAGATTCTCATTTTATGCAATTTTGAAAAATAAATAAATAAAGCCATATGATCACACTCACTAGATCACAACAGCCAATATCTTCTTTTCCTCCCCTTCTCTTTCTAATCAGCCCCTTCTTTCATCTACAATTCCAGCATCTCCCCTCTCATCAGGATCACTCACAGCAAAGCATTTACCTTCTCAATTTCATGTGTGTTCCACACTGCCATGTCTCTAGCAGAACAGGAATTGAATGATCAGTTGTTAAAGCACTATCTAATGAAATTACAATCTACCTACCCTCCCAACCAATGCATGTCGTGGAACATGCTTTTAAAATTTTCCATTGCCATTGCTACAGTGATTTACGTATATACACAGTTAATATAGGAAAAAAATACAAATCAAATTTAATTCCCTGGCTTTCCATCCTTCACAATTCAACGTATAGTTTTATATATTGAATTGCCCCTTCAACGCGTAGAATACAATGATATCAATTTTTTTGTATTTTGTAAAAATTGGAATTGAGAGGTTTCGATTCAAATGAATTCTAGGGTGGCATATACCTTTCCAAAAGTAGGTTTTACATGTTAATATTTAATCCAACCCGAAACTCGACCCAAAAAAATTCAAATTCAGGTCAACCCATTTGGCATATGGTCCGAGTTTGGGTTTGAGATTCTGACCCATTTTTAAAATCAGGTTGAGTTCCGGTTGATTCAAAAACTCGAAGGTGACTTGAATTGATTGGATCCGACGCTTGCAACCTTCCACAGTGCCACCCCACTCATGATAGCCACAACTCTCCCATGCTCACGCCCGCACTTAGACTCCCACCTGCACCGCGCTTGTGCCCGTGCTCCCATATGCATCCACACTGCCAAATCTGTGCCCTCTCCCCCGCGCTAGCACCCTAGGGTCATGCCTGCTTCCCGACGCCTGCACCCTTGTTCACTCGCTCACGCCCCCTTCACCCGCACGCCTATGCTTGAACTTGTTGTTGTATTTTGGGTTAGTGTCTTGGGTCGGGTTCAGGTTAGCTGAATTTGACTCAGGGTTATTCTGATTTTGACCCCAAACTGACCTGAATACTAATTTTGACACCCCTACTCATTAATTTTTCACTCCATGGAAGCTTTTCTTGAGTGCTAGCCAATATCAGGGAGTATAAATTTCTTCATTTTTTAGCTTTGATAAATTCATCTACCAAACCTTTGTGGGGGTAAAGTTCATCCGTACCATAGCTATGTCCATATGGAAAGTACAATATCTTGAGGTGTCTCGAGGGTGCACATTCACTTTTATGGGTGTCTGAGCTTAAAAAATCCTTTTTGTGGATGGTCTTAACTAACTTGACCATATAAACTCTTAGTGGTTGTAGGTGGGATAGGTCGATAGGCAATGCATGAGTTCTTCATGTTTATGGGTGAGTGATTAGAGTCGGCTCCTCCACCCTTAGAGCGGGTTGTCTTGTAATCCTTAATGGCCTTGGTTATAGGGGTCCCCTCAGGAACTCTAGATAATGGTGATCTCTTAATGGGTTTGGTCTTCTATCCGTCCTATCCTTGAGATGAATTTGTTCCCTTTCTCATTCATGCTACTATTCCCTTTTGGGCAAGTTTATATGGGTGAGTAGCTGAGGAGGATTTAGAACCTATTATACTATTCAACATTTACATGTCTGTTGATCAGATTCAACAGCTCAATAAGAGTTCTAGATTGATACAGGTCGAGTGCATTGCATAATTGACCATCTCTTTATCATTGGGTGAAGTCAGTATAGGAAATTATAAGATTTAAGTTTTTCACTTCAAGCATTTCTATTTGGAACCTCACTGTGTTACTTCCTAGTGACTCTCTCGGATCCTGCCTTATCTTTAGAAGAGCTTGAGAGCACTTCTAATAATTTTGAGCACTAGCAAATTGTGTTACAAACATTCTTTTAAATTTTGGAAGGAGGTGACCACTAGTAGGCAAGTAAATCATTTCATGACCAACTCTTTGAGGGTTGTAAAGAAGAGATGATATTTAAAAGCATAATTGATATCTAGGAGGGAGGTTATGGATATCAAGGTGAAGACATGGTTCATTGGGTTAGTCTTACCTGTGTATGACTCCAAGTTAAGTAGTTTGAACTTGAGAGGCAACTTGGCTTCCATAATCTCCCTTAGGAATGCTTTGGCGAGTTTGGGTTATACTCTCCTATCTTTCCTAGTCGATTGATTGTACTTATCATCACTTGTTAAGCTGGAAGTGGGATTAGCTATTAGTATTAACTTAAAAGATTAAACATTCAACCTTATGTGATGGACTGCCCTTGGATCCCACTTAAGGTGTCTTGGATCCCTCCTAGGGCTCTTGGATCATCTTTATAATCCTCTCCTCGATCTCCAACATGTCGCGACAAGTAGTGTAGTTGTTGATCTCGATATTCGCAGATTGCTCTAGGGCACTTCATTTTTTGATGTGTGCTTTTTTCTTGTCACTAATATCAATCCATGCTCATCACATTAAGAGAATATTGGATACAAACTTATTTGTGGATAACTCTCAACCTTACTTGCATATTAACCTATGAGCGTGCTACCTAGAATCCATATGAGAATGGATATAATGGAGAAATCCTAGGGAGGGTTGTAATAAATGCTTAAAATATTAATCAAATAGAAAAAAAACCAAGTTTTACCATATTCAGAAAGATGCAAAATGCTACTCATTACCCATTATTCATAAGGTTCTTAGCAATATAGGAAAGGCTACATAAAAAAAAAGTAAAAAGCTACATAGACTATCTTACACAAGTGTTGCATTCTGGTTGGTTGAGGGAGAGTAGGACACATAGTAGAAAAGTAAATATGCATTCTATGCTCACAGAAAAGTAAAGGTGGGGTTTTTAAAGTATAAAGCAATAAATCCTATGAAACTAATTTATATCTTATTGACCTTATTTTTGTAAGAGGTCACTAGGATCAATTTAGATCCTAGAATCTATGCAGACCTTAGATCAATCCAAACCTTAGGATCTAATCCAAACCCTATGATCAAATACATATTTTCAAACCCAGAATCCAAGGTTAAAGGCTCTATCCTGAAAGCCGTTCTCAAGGATTTTTCAAACACTTTAAAATCTAATCAAATGACCTATGATTTAGAGTATATCAATTGCATATTTATAGGACATATCTCTAGCAGAAATCCTCCAAATTTGAGCCCATTCTGAGGTCTCTAACCCCATAAATTGAATTGAAACTCAAAGGTTGTAAAACCTTCAAATATTTACAACATATGTCACTAGACCTGCAACCTAGTGGATTTTGACCTTGGAGCTTTATCCAAAGCCTCTAATCACTTCCAGTCCCTTAATCCTAACCTGTTATGCATTAAACTGAATTTTTATGGACCCATTTTAACCCTAGTTGACCGGGGGTCAAAATGACCAAAATATCCCTTAAGGGTTCAAATACTTATTTCAAACCAAATGACCCCTAAATTGCATGGAACCACTTCCAGCAATTTTTAAATATCAAACCAAACATTGGGACCACCTCTACTAGTCTCCAAATGTCATTTCAAATCTGTTGAACCCAATTTTAGCTCTTGGGTTAACCTGGTTGACCCAATAGCTAGCTCCTTAAGAGTCTAAATGGGTTATTCCAACTCATTTGATCAAATCAAGTCCCTTTGAGCTTCACACCCACTCAATTGAATACATTTAAACCTAGCTTGAATCGCATTAATGTGACTTTGACCAAGTTTGAACTTGGTCAAACTTCCACATCTCAGTCACTTTAATAATCACTTTAATCAAAGCCAATCAAGCCCTTCAAGCTCTTAAATCATTCCAATATATTATTCAAACTCATGATAAGTTAAATGAACATGGATTTTAACTTAAATCAAACCTTTAACCATGGTCAAGCTTACACATACCCATGCTTGCGCATTCAAACTCCCAAATGGATTGTCTTAAAATCCCTCCTAATCATTTCAAGAGCACCAAGCCATCATTTGGTTGCCACCTCAGCATACATTGACCCATTGACTGGTCAAACAGTCAATGGGTGGT